AACATCCTGTCACTATGGATTGAATGTATGAGAATCCAGGTGTCTTCTTTTCAGCTAGACAATAAAGAGATTTGATGTAAAGGAATGCTATTCTTCTCACTATTTTGTTTTGGGAATTAGAGCTACTTTCCTTAAAAAAATGTTAACATGTAATGGGCTTATTACTATTTTAAAGTGAATGATAAATGATTTTTAAATGCTCTCAGTTCGAATTTTGCATATGGTAAGTATCGAGTGATAAAATCTATTGAGCAAAAGCTCTTTGGGGTTTACCATAATTTATCTTTAAGATTTATTTATTTATTCTGGAGAGAGAGAGAGAGCGCAAGCAAGCAGGGGGAGGGGCAGAGGGAGAGAGAGAATCCTGAAGCAGACTCCCCACTGAGCATGGAGCCCTACATGGGCCTCAAGGTGGGGCTTGATCCCAGAACCCCAAGGTGCCCCAAGGTGTACCATAATTTTTAAGAGTGTAAAGGGGTCCTGAGAACAAAGGGCTTGAGAACCGCTGGACCACAGGATGACACCCAGACTGGTGAGCCAGGTGTTTGGGACTTTCCACCATCCCACTCCATCCTGTCTCTGCAGGCTCACTTAATATCACCATCTCTGAAGTACCCCCAGGTCCCAGCCTAACCACCTTACTGATTTCTGCACATGTTCTGGACTTTTCGGCCTAACTTTGTGCATACCATTCCTTTACCTGGAACATGTGCTTGTCTGGGGGTTAGAGGGTCAGGGCTATCATCTTAGCATGAAGGCCTGAGAATGCAGAAACTCACTGAAACCCAACTTCACAGTTTGTTTATAGATATATTCTGCATATTATTTTCCTTAATTAGGATTCCTGGAGTCCCAAGGACCCAATTTTCCCTTTGTGTGTGTATATATATATATACACACGCACACACACATATGTGCATATGTGTATGTATATACATATACATACATTCACACCATATATACCATATATATATATTTTACCATCTAAGGGCCAAGTGTCCTGCCATAAACTTATGGGATTTTTGTAAATATTAGCTGACAATTTCAAGTGATATCTGTGGGATTTTATGATCCAGTGCAGATTAATCAGAGTATTTAGCGCCTGCTGTGAGCAGAACACTTGGCAGTGGGGGCAGGGGGCTAAGGAGGTGATCCTTGCTTAAGGACCTGCACAATGGTTGGAGACACAGGATTCATAGCCAAGGAGCAATTAAATAGGACACAAGAAGGTATGTAATCAAAGGGATAACCAGGTGCTGTAGGCCTTTAGGGATGGGGAGGTGGAGGCAGGGGTGGGTGCACGTGTGTTTACAGTGGCTGGAAAAATCAAAGAAGGCTTCTGGGAGGAGGCAGGGACTTGCTGGGGACTGGTTAAGTAGGCAGGGTTTAGTTAGAGGTCAGCAAGGCAGGATTTCAGGCCAGCGAATAAACATGAGGCAGAGCAGAGAGTCAGAAATGAGCACAGCATGTTCACAGCCTAATGAGACTGCTGACCATGGTGAAGGTGAATGGTGCGAGGTGATAAGGTTGAAAGCTAGTCGGAGGATTTTAGCTTGGACACGGAAGGAGGGAGGAACCAGCTTTTTTTGGTTAGGGAAGTGGCATGGTGTTTTTTTGAGCACAGGATGGGTTATTACTGAAGGAGGAATGGAGGTAGGGCATCTAGTTAGTGATCTAGGGGTGTGAAGTGACAAGGCTCTGGACTGGGGTATCAGCAATGTTTTTTAAAAAATGAAATACATGCAGGGAGCCACTTCCAGAATGCCTGCTCAGTGCCTTTAAATGGGAGTGTTTTACATATGAGGGCATGGGGATTAAAGCCCCACAATATGTGTTCATGACATAATTGGGTCTTATCACATGTGGCTGATCTGGAGCTGAAATCTTTTATTCTAGCCTTTCTTGGGTCTTACGGTCTCAGCCACTAAATAATCGTGTGGTTTTGGGCAAGTCATTTAACTCCTTGGTGTCTTCGTTTTTTTCATCTGTAAAATGAGGGTGTTAATAGGCCCTGTCTCCTGGGTTTGTTATGAGAATTACATGAGTTCATACATGTAAAGTGGCTATACTGGGGCCTGGGACATAGAAAACCTTTAAAAAATATTAGCTATTATTTATTTATTCATCATTCATATTAGCATGGGAATATAAATATTTAAATTACCCGGTGGGCCAAAGCATTCAGAGCTGTGCTGAATCAAGTGCCCACTCCCCCCCCCAAAAAAAGCTGGCTAGAGACATTGTGAAGATGGGACTCAGAAGCTAGGATGGAACAATGTTAAAAATTCTAATTCCACAAACTCCTTAAGATCTAAAGTGTAAAACCCGGAGACCCGGCTCCCACTGCAGAGAAGATAAATCTGGATTTCTTAGCGAGCCAGCAAGGCTTCTTGACTGGCTTTGTGTTGTCCCAGCCTCCTTCTTCCTGCAGCCTGGGAGGGCTGCCGCTCAATCCCACACTCCTGCTTCTTTTCAAACACATCCCATCCTGCACTTCAGTCTCCCCCGCCTTCACTCTTTCCCCAAAAGCTCATTCCTCTTACTCCACTTGTGCCCAATAAAATTAGTCACCTGTTTTTAATAGGCCTTATTTTTTAAGAGCAGTTTTAGGTTTACAGAAAAATTGCAGAGAAAGTGCAGAGTTCCCATATTCTCCCTCCCCCAACTGTTTCTCCTATTAGTAACATCTTGGATGAGTGTGGTACATTTGTTACAACTGATGAGCCAATATTGATACATTGTTATAAGTACATTGTTATATAAGTCCATAATTTACATTCGGGTTTACTCTTTGTGTTGTACATTCTATGGGTTCTGACAAAGGCATAGTGTACTCTATTCATTACAGTATCATACAGAATAGCTTTGATGCCCTAAAATTGCCCTGTGCTCCCTCAGTTCACCCCACCCCTTTCCTCCCCTCATGGATTTTTAAGAATCAGAATGCCATGTCTTCTGTGAAAACGTCTCAAATGAATCTCTTTGATGCTTGCATAGCCTTTTCTTCATACCTATTACAGCTCCTATGTTCCACATAGGATTGTAGATGGACACACACTCTTCTTCCTTCACTAGGTTGTATCTCCATGAAGGAGAGAAGGTACCGTGGATTTGGCCTGACAACACCTAGCCTAGACCCTGTTCTTAACAGGTGCCTTATACACGCTGGCTGACCTGAATTGTGAGCAAATATTAGGGTGGGATTTTGCAGAATACAGGCAAAGCTTTAGACATTGAAGTCTGAAAGTGACAGGTAAATGTGTGAATTTGATACTTGTGTCAGCACTCAAGGTCTGTGGATGGGGAAGTTCTTTGAAGGCAACCATCTTCTGTCCCTTCAGATTTGGGCTCAGGAGCAGCCTTAGGTGAAGTAGCCCAGGCCGGCTTTATATTACTGCTAGGCCACAGAGCTCTTCCCCTGCCTCTCCACCTCTCCAAAAAGAAAAAATGAAACAACAAAAGAGGAGATGGGGACAAGGAGCCTGATTGTTTTCATCCTTCCAGTCCCCGTGCCCCTCTCAGGAAGGCTCCTGGAAAGCCTTATGCTTGGTCCCCACTCTCTCTCCCCAGGTGGCCCCCAACAATGGATGCCCAGCGTGTTTTCTTTGGCCAGGGAGCACCTTCCCATAAACGCTTCTTATTTTCTTAAGTCACGCTGAGATTTTTGCTTTAAAGACACTGTTCTCAAACGTTCTCAAATGCTGTAGGAACATGCAGATCGGAACAAAAGCAAATAAATCGAATCTTGTGAAGTAAAGCAGAAGCCTTTCTCCAACAGCCAGCACGACGCTAAATGAGAAATATCAGTCATCCACTAGGTACAGTATATTCCCCTCTTGACAGGAGCTGCCGTTTGCAGAAACCCCCACCCCAAATACGCGACAGTGAAGGTACCATAGAAGGAACTACTCTCCTCAGCTGCCCCCCCCCCCCCCCCGGGAGTCAGCAGTTTTAGCGCGCTACCTATTCCTTTAAGCAACACACGCTGTTTGAAAGACCTTGGCCTTTACTTCCTTGTACCTGCCTGCAAACACACGTGGTGGGGGGGAGGGAGAGAGAGAGAAAGTCCCCCCCTCACTCCCCGAATCTTTGAGCCCGCAGCAGCGCCAGACCCGGCACGGGTTAGTGGGGGACACTCTGGAAACCCGGTTAGATCCCAAGGTGCCGTTACCTGGGACAGTGAATGCTCTCGAGAGAGCAGGGCTCCCCCATCCCCCCGCAACCACAAAAAGCCAGAGGAAAGGCGGGGGCAGTCTGCCGGGCCGCAGAGCTCGGAGGGAGCCTGACAGAGCCCCTCCACGCGGAGACGACCGCCCGCTTGCACCTGTGCTCCCAGGGGGCGGGGCCTCCTCCAGGTGTGCGGAGGAGAAGGACGCGGAGCGCTGAGGGCAGCGCTGGAGCCGAAGCGTCGTACTCTCCCGCTCCCCATCCCCCCCCCCGCCCC